GTTCGGTAATCAACATCTTTATGTAAGTATAGTCCACTTAGTTTTTGTTGGCGATCTTCATATTGTCAGAATTCAGTAATCAGTTTGCTATTTTGGAAAGGAAGATTATTAGTTAGTAAATGATAAATCTTAACTTGGGCTAATTGATCAACTTCATTTCAAAACTTTTCTTGCTTTTCTTCAGTAGTTAGTTTCTTAGTTTTCAACTTTTTAGTTTGGCTAAGTTCACTAGTTTTGGAACTAGTTTTTTTAACTTTCGGAAGTTTTTTACTAACTTCCTTTTTGGTAGTTTTCTTAACCATGATTACTTATTAGTGTGGTAATAATTGTAAAAATAAACGGTTAAGGCTCCGAGAGCAAAAACGAGAGTGTATTCTTTTCAATTTTCTTTAATTTTGGTTAGCATAGATTTTTATTCAGATTCAATTTTGTTCTTGTATACTTTTCAAGCATAAGTAGTCACTACATAGGTAATTAAACCTAAGGCTAAATACTTGAAACGATAAGACATATTTATTTGGGGGTTCATATTTTTAATAATGGGTAAATTTGGTGGGTTGATAGATTATCAGGTTTAATTATTTTCAAAAATAAGCAATTAAGAGTAATAGGAAGATTCCTAAGGCAATCGCCACTAAGGCTTGTTGAGTTTGCTGTCCATAAGCCATCTGCTTGGCGAAAAGGCTTTTAAACTCCCCAGTTTTTTGTTCAATGGTCTCTTGCAAACTCTCTTCATAAAAACCGGTGAGAGCACTTTTAAAATCCGGCAATCAATCTTTTAAGGCTAGCATCATGATTACTCCGCTTCTTTTTTAGTAAATAATTGGTCAGTTAGTTTGGGGATGATTCCAGTTTGGTGAATGAAATAAGCTAGGCTTACTCCTAAGACCCAATAAGTAGGCCATCAGTCCACATATGATTTTCAGTTGTTTTGGTTGTTCATTAGATTGTCAGGTGTAATTTACTTTAATAATTGTTTCCCGATCACAAAAACAGCTCCAGTAAGCGCGAGAGTGACCGCAATTCCAGTCAAGGCATAGCCAAAACCAGTTTTTAAGTCTTCCCGATAAAGCACTTCATTTCTTTTGGCACTAATGGTCGGTGATTTGGAAAAACCATTCTTTTTTAGATTTTCAATACTTGGCAT